TTTCCTTTGCTTGAACTCGAACGAGGTTGATAAGAAAACAACTTTATTCCGGCTAACGTTTCGGCGCGGATCGCCGGAACGTTAGCCGGAATAAAGTTGTTTTCTTATCAACCTCGTTCGAGTTCAAGCAAAGGAAACCAACGTTTGCACTATGCCGAGGTTTAGAGATAGCCGTACATGGCGATTATTACACTCAAATTGTTGTGGAGCTTTGTTGTACTAACCAGATCGCTCCTCTTTTCGAGCAAGTATAGTCTGTCGCACATGTCCCTGCATTTTGGGATCCTTCGGTACAGCAAAACACATGTATCGATTGCTGGCCACACCAACACCTCCGCATTCGAAATGCTTCGTGAGGGCCTGGCCCATGATGAGAGGAGTTTCGCTCAACTCATGTGTTAACTGCACAAATTACGATTACGCCCATTTCGGAGTGTAACCTTGCCTACCTAACATAAGAGCCCGTCTCCTGTGCTCCTTACAAACTTGAAGGCTCTGGGTCAACAGTACCAAGAGTTATGAATTTTTGCTCGAACTTTTATTTCGCGCCAGCCCCGCCACCTGCGAGCGCACATACACCACCACATGCACACACGCGAACAGACACACTTAGCCGAAACAGACACTCTTCATAAAAGTATGACTAGACGTTATCTGATCTACAGTTTGAGAGACGGGACAACTTTTCTACGGGTGGGCCAAAATCATGATTACAGCGCGCGCTGACGCTCATAACGAATTTTCTCTGAGGTCATAGCAATTCGCTCGCTTCCTTTAATTTCACAAGGTAGATTACATTATTACCTTCCTGATGATGCCAAACTTTGGGTAGATTTTGAAAATAATGTATGCGCAATTAGTCCGTGAATAAATCGTTTTTTTGCATTTATAAGCACTTTCGACACGTGCATCTACAGACGACTCAGCGTNGTGGTAATCCTAAGAGGCCTGCAGTTATAATCGGTGGGACTTTTAATAAAGCAGGGCGAAGGTCTGCGTAGCAGCGAAGTTCATTCTGAGCCCAAAATGACTAAATGAATGGATGTCTCATAAAGTTTTCTGCGCGAAATTGTGAAGCATCATCTGCACGACAAGGCACGACATCTTTATACGAACAGAAGGTGTTTTCCCCAGTGAGCAGACTGAAAAGAAGAGTAAAGTTGGCTCATAAAAGCTGCCCCGCCGCATACAAAAATTGTCGTACGGGATTCGTGTTCACCGGCGGGAAGATATCTGGAGTGAAAAAGGTGCATAACAAGCAGGGCTACAAGATTAAGATAAAGTTGAGAGAAATGGAAGTGATGCAGCGCTAGGCTTGCTCACTTTCTGCGATATCCTTTGGTAGCGTCACTGCCGAGGCAAAAGCACCGATTATTTTTGTAAAATAAGGAGTGAAAATTGATTTGGAGACCTATTCGATCTTCTCAAGCGCAGTAAGACACTTTGGCGATTCAAACCGGACATACTGTCAAGATGATGCTCCTGACTACAGATCAGAAATTGTCTAGAAATTCCGTGAAAGAGGTTCCCTGACTTCATAACCTTCGATCAGTGACCACTCTGGAGCCCTGACCTAAATTCCGTGGACGTCTCAGTGTGGTCAGCCTTTGAGATGAGAGCATGAGTTTGCCCAAACAAGAAGTGAAATAATCTCGAAAGTGCCTAGCAAAAAGCTGGGATCAACTCGATGACCTTAGCTGCGTGCCACCGCTTATGTCGTCCGTCATCGTCTCTGGGGTTGGGTGAAAGCAGAAAGCAGCAGATCCCAGTCTCAATGTACTATTTTGATAAGAGATTAGTGATAGACACTTCTATGAAATTGATTTGCTTTTTTAGCTTACTATTCGTTTTCGGGGATGTGATGTCTGTGTAATCATAATTTTGGCCCACCCTGTAGACTATACTTTTTGCGCGCTTTCGATCGAAGTCGGGCTACAGGAGACGCATCATCTTATGCGTATCTGGAGTTTGTATGCTTGCTTAGCTAGGCTGATTTCCTGATGATACATCCTGCCTGAAAAGTCATGGAGCAAAGAATGGTAGTGAAGAAAGAATATTTGCATCCCATCAACCTTGAACCACGATTAATTCTTCTCTCATACGCGCCATTAGTTTGTGGGCAAGATCGGGTGGAAGGATTATGTGATAAGAAATTGCTTGTCTATAGCTTACCACTTTGACTCCATCGGTGGGAGATGTCTCCGGTAAGGTCGTTGTTGCTGCGTTGTTTGTTGTTTGTGATTCTGTACGGAAAGCATCCTCTAGCTGATCAAAGCAACATGATATGAGCACCTACCAAACACGGCACTGATTTCATCTCGATGCAGGAAACAAGTGATCAGCATTTCTACAGGTGACAGTGCTTCTCTGGCCAACTCGAACGCTAGAATCTCCTGGAATGTTTTCATCTTCCTTCACCATTAAACAAAATCACTGATTTCACACGGGAAAACGGTTCCATTTATTTTGAAGTAGGACTGTGCTCTTACACTACCAAACGTGATAAGGGACTATCCATGTCATATGCAAATTCGAACTTGTTAGTAGAGCCTATCTTCATGTGTCTGCCCTCATCAAAATAGAATAGTTGTCCTATTACTTTAATAAGGGCGCCCAAGTCTATTGAGATTCCTTACCAGCCATTTATCGTTGAAGATGGGGATTCGATTCTCTACACAGTTTGTAGGATCGAATTCGTCTAACTTTAGGTATTCTAGAACTGCCCGATTTAAGGATAAACAGATGTTGAGATGATCGCAGTTTCGGCAATTTTCGGAAACGGGTGAGGGAAGGGAGATAGGGGGAGAAAGGAAGAATACGAAACTGTGGAAAGCTTCCTTCAGCGACAATATGGATGACGAATACAAGCGACAAGTCAAACATCTTCACGATAGTGTTAGAAAAGCAGAGCGTCTCGAAGATGCCAAGAAACACATTTGTTCAAAGTCTCTCGAGCTTTACGCCAGCAAGGAATCGCCCCAGATGCAGGCAATAACCTGCTTGCGTCCGAACTAGCGAAGCTATGCAGGGAAGTGATAGAGGAAGATCTGGAAAAAAAGAGCAGCAGTTATGGATGAAGCTGTGGAGGCTGGAAAGAGCAATCTCAAGCCTTCACAAAACTGAAACGACTTCTCTTCTTCACTCTGACGGAACACCTATTGCTTCTCGAAGGGGATGGAAGAAGGTCATCTACGACTTCTACTCGAATATCTTCCAAATCTGCTCCACAGCTACGTCTCCGTATCTACCTACCATCTCAGGCAGGATGGATATATTGCTCCTTCCGTGTCACCTTCCAGAATTCGATTTGCCATTTGCTGGTGATGAATTGCAGGGCGCTCGGTCCTGACAGAATCACACTGGAACATCTGAAGAGCCTACCGTCATTAATGTCGGAATCCTGGCCCGGTTTTCCACTTGTCGGAGTGCTACCTGCCTACTTCGTGGAAAACTACTAGCAGGACTGTATTGCTCCATAGGAAGAGAGATCCAAATGATTTTGGCAATTATCCCCCATGCTGAATACGTCCAACTGATGTATAAGAAGGGAGATCCAGACGATATTAGCAATTTTCCCCAATCTGCCTGCCATATTCAATCTACAAACTATTTCCATGCATTATCCTCACAAAATGGGCGGGGTATTAGATGAAGGGCAGTTATGCCAGCAAGCATGGCTTGGATATGGTTCAGTGCAATCGATCTCATCCACACCGTTGCAAGACTCGCTGAATTTTCGCGATACTTCGAACCGTCATGTATTAGGTTCGAAGCCTGTACTGTCGAGATTAGAAGCCTGTACTGCCGAGACAAAAGCGATTATCAAAGTGCAAATATGGCGATCCCACTCAATATACATATGAGGATGCTTCTTGTGCTCTGCAACAGCTTCACGACCAAGATCTCACCATTCTGTTGAGTAGCCGTCCTTGAAGAAAAATTGTTTGGCAGGGCAATACCATCTCGCCAAAATTTTTCAACTCCGCTCTCGAGAACATCGTGCCTTAAATGGTATGAGAAGGGAGTGAAGATTGACGGCCGCTGTCTACCTCCGCATCGCAGACGACATCATGCTCATAACACCGAACATCGAGCAGCAAATGCTGATCGAATTTTACAACTCTGGAAAAATCTGATTTTGACTGCACCTAAAGAAGACGATGTTCATGCGAAACAGTTTAGTGCCTGATGCCGATGAAACCAACATCACTGAAAGTTAAAGCCACAGATATCTAAGCCGAGAAGTCAATATGATGAAGGATCTAGCACCGAAGCTGAGCAGAAGAGAAGGCGAGAGGTAGCCTTTGAGAACTCTCAAGGAGTAGTAAAACAGGCAAAGGGTATCGTACTCTGCACTCGCTTCCCAAGTCTGCTGACCCTTCTGCTTTGACGTGCTCCTCGAACACTTAGACTCTGCGAAAGGAGGACACACATGTGACACAGCGTCATCCAACATTCTTCTCTTGGAACTTTCGAAAAGGTGATGATTTTTTAGCTCCGTCAAAGAACGAAGAGATCACGCATGTCGCTGCTTGCGCCGAAAAAACTGCAGATTGATGGGACGGACACGTTACACGAAGTCGGCATGAGCGTTCCAGGCTACTGACTGGACCATTTGGGACGTCAAATGCACACCAGGGCAGCAGCCAGCGTGATGGTCAGACTACTTCATAAAGAGCTTTGAAAGAAGGGTGAGCTTTGCCCCGTTCCCACCCGAGCGGGTGTGATCCCAGTTGAATACTCTGGCTAGCAAGAAGGACGAGTGAAGACGTTACTGAAGCTCGCTCGAGATAATCGATGATCAACAGGGCGACAGGTGATGCAGGTGGTAGAAACACAATGGTAATGCAAATAATGTGATTATGACTAGATAGGGATACGCTTTTGAATGCTAATGATCTATGGGAAAAGACCACTTATTTCAGACTTAGTTGTACCTATACTGAGACACGAGAAATGGTGCTTTCGACGTATAATGCAACCTCGCTCGACAGCTCAACAGCCACAGAACTCAAAGCAGAATGCAAGAAACCGCACACTTATAAGAGCACAATGTTGCGAGACAATACAATTTCAGGCAAGACAGATAGTCTTCAAAACCACATTGCACGCATAGCCGTTATCTTGGAAGTGGCCTACCTTTACATGTGTAGCATTGTTACATAGATGGCCGTAGCAGATACAACTCAAAGAAAAGTTATAAAAGTAGCACACTCCACCCTGAAAAAACCTTCATGCGGTTCACTTTGAATCATAGTGATGATTGCAATATGCGGAGTAATGCCCTTGAGGAAAGAGAAGAAGGAGGTTCCATTGAAAGGGACTCCACATCACCCAGCTACCCTATCGTTCTCAACATCAGTATTCTTATAAGTTAAAAATGCCACTTTCCGCGAAGAGAGACATGGGACATTCAGCAGCAATGATGAATAGTTGAACATATATTTGTGTGATAGTTGTATCGAATTGCTTTTTCTGCATATCTTTACAAAACATGGGGTACTGTGCTTTTCAATGAACTGTGATTTCGGCCTGTACTGGCATCGTGCTATGTATGTTTATACAAAAATCGGGGGTGATTCTTGTAGGGCTGGGAGACCTCTGCTTTTTCGATACTGAGCACAAGAGCGCAGATAAGGAGATTAGCCCACGATTGTGCTCAGGAAGTTTCCTAGCCGATAACATAGAGTTTTTTGCTCTTAAGCAGAAGCTTCAAGTGCACCGGGTTGGGTGAGGCAAATGAATATACAACTCGCACCCCATCCCAGCTTTCAGGTCGGCTACACATAATTCTCTGCACTCAAGCCCTCAGTGTTGAATATTGCGGTTCCCCCTCTGCCTCCCCCTGACAACATTTTCTAACCACTTTGTAAAAGTCGGAATGAGGAACGGGTAAGGCGAACGACCCGGCTGCTAAAAAAATTCTAAGATTTCATGCACCTGATATAAGTCTTTCATCTGCTGATCATCCACGTGAACACTTGGTTGGTACTCCAGAGTCAAATCTACATCGGCGTTGCTCTCACATGAGTCGTTCTCGTAAGTTATGCGAAATCCACAAAAAGGTTCAACAACCTGGATAACTAAATATTAGTTAAATGACTGGAAGACATTATGTAGTTGTGTCCTACTGAGACGTGTTTCACAGCTACTAAGGCCAAGTGTTGCGTTAGAAACCTGATCAATACTCTATTCGCCTCTAATCTTTCCCCAACAGCACTGGCTACAGTGACGAAGATGCGAGTGTTACGTTTTGGAACCATTGCTGCTTTAAGTACATATTCGGGCTTGAATGAAATCTTACTCGATGTTCAACTATCAGCATCTACCATTCGCAAAACAAGATTTGTGGAAGGAGTCCGAATCTCTTCAAGTTTCTGGAAATTCCGAAACATCAGAGGAGCATCAAGTGACACCCACTTTCATACGACTTTCAACAGGAGTCTTGAACGATCGTATTATTACTCGACCGAATCTGTGGTCAAGACGGAACCAAGCTTTTACTTTGGGGAACTAGTAACGTCAGCATCACATCTACTGCATTACTTATACTTAGACGGCTCCTCTTAATGCATGTGTGGAGCGCCAGTAACAACCATTGTCTCTTTCTTCCACGATCGCCATCCACAGTTGACTCAAAGCCCACGAAGATGACGATGTAAGGAGTTTTCCAGCTGCACTCGCAGCTGCTCTACGTGATCCACGAATGCATCTCCCATCTTGCAGGCAGCAAGCCTTCTTTCTCCTTCCCTTCTGAGATACTCTATTGGGACTATTGGCATAGTGGAACTGCAAAGCCGGGCTCGATATCGAGTGAGCACGGTTGAGCTGCTCGGCGCCCTGTGACTTAATCTCGAAGTCCATGACCTGGATGCAGTGGTCAACCATGTCTCCGACTCGTATAGCTCGGAGAGAGAATTGTCGAGCAGATTAGCACGGTTCTGAACTAGAATTAGTTAGTGGTATTTTTTGAGAAGTACTACGGCCGCTCACTCAGCTTTCTGCTGCCATACCAATTCTTCCTTCATGTCGTTGTCTGTGTTCTCGGAACACTCGAAATAAATGTAGGACGAGGCCTCTTTGATGATCACCATCAATCTCAATTCGACCTTATCGAAGCGTTCTTCACAGACTGTGTCTTTGTTTAGTTTATCCTTCCGTACTTCCTGCTTCAATGAATTCTCTATTCATTGGGTCAGCTTCCGCAACGTTGTTTGGAAAGAAAATAATGTCGTCCTCAAAACGAAAGTTCGAGAGGAAACGTACACCTACACGGATGCGCTTTTTAGTCTTTTGACTTCATAACCCACTGCAGCGCTGCTATGAAGAGCGAAAATCACATTATACACAATGGGAGTGGCGGGAGGTCGCTGAAATATTTGCATATTGCTAGTGCTTTCATACAGAAAGGCTCTACTCCTTAATCGACCAGTGCTGACAGGACCGCAGTTGTTTCGATACTGTCGATATCTTTTTCACAGTCATCGACGACCTTGTTTAGCTGGTTTAGTTCTTCCTACGTTCGCGATTTGGGGTTTAGAATAATCTCCGTGAAAAGCTTGTAAGAGACATCCATCGAGCTTGTTGGGCAGTAGTTGTGAGGATTATTCCGCTCTCCTTTCTTGTGAATAGTCATCATCGTGAGTTTCTCCTCTGCCTGAAGATCCTCTAGATCTGGAGTTGAAATGTTATGTGTGTTGTGAGAGGTGCCTGAAGTTCGCGACCATCTGCACTGAGTAGGTAGGCTGGGATCTAGAGTAGTGCTCTTCTCTCGTAGTGCTCGTAATCGGAACTATTTCCTCTTGCGACAGGATTCGAGGAGCTGTTCCTTCAGTGAGCAACATTGGCTCGTGGGCTCGTGACAGGGATCGAAATGAACTTTACCGGCACCCGCTTGGGCAAGTCGAGAGGGGTACGGGTGATAAACAACAGTGCTCAATCTCGCGTGAGAGCTCCGAGCTTTTTGTTAATTCGTGCAAATTTCCCACAAGGGGGCAAGAGCAATTCTTGGAAAGTTTGCTGGTATGAGATTTCAGAGGATTCCCTTTCGAGACTTCTCTGAAATTTGGGCCGCAACATTGATAAGAGAAGGTTGTGTTACTTGTAGAGAGGGAACATCCTCTGGAATGTCCTGGTTTTGTCTTCTCAATATGAGGATGGTCTATTCTTTTTCGTGATTGACTTACAATATGACTTGGAATTTCATCCGGGGGTGGGCGCTTTTGGGAGGGAGCTTTACAAATCAATCATTCATTCAGATACAACTTATTAGAAGTCAGGTCAGCATGACGATTGCGCAACTTCTCTCATCTTTCACGCTTCCCTTTTTAATCATTAGCAGACAACAATTACTTTGAGTTAGAGGTTTCAGTTTTAGTTGACTCGCGGCTTTGGAACGTCATCTGAACTTGGATAGTAAATGAAATGAAAATGAGCCAGCGAAATTGTTTCCTAAGGGAAAATACAGGACAGTCGTTCGAGTAAGTTTAGTCCAGTGCGTTTGGGGAGATGTGGATTGCGCATCGATGCAAACGTTGAAGATGAGTGTTCTTGCGGTAGCCGCGAAAGGGCAGCAACCGCTTCGGGTAACCAGCCTCTTGTAAGCTGACGGTTAATGTGGACTGTGTCGGTGGTTCTACAAAACAACAAAGACGAAAAGCTTTTGGTCAACACGGAAGAAGTATTAGAGCATAGGAGGATTCCAAATTGGTTTTGCAGAGTTGTGTGACTATTTGGAAGTACAATATAGAAGGTTCCCTTAGTAAAGGGCAGAAAAAAACAAGATATCAATCGGCTTCAACTTCTTATGAAAAAGAGAGTACCACTTACGGTTACAGCCACTGCAGCGTTTTTTCCTACGTAGCATTCATAAGCGAGTGAACTTCTGTAGAAAGGTAGGCACAGCACGACAAACAAAAGCCGTAGCCTCATCATCCGCCTTCGAGAAGTCTCTTCGATAGAAGGACCTAGCAGTTACCGCGGTTCTATGGTAAATGGTACACCTTGGAGTTATCACTTGTTATCGTCTTTGTTGACTATAACATAAGACAGATAACGAAGGACTCATCGCAAACTAACAATGAAATAGCAACACTTAAGAGCAAGCTCAAAGGGAAAGCTGATATGGTGTTGTTATACAGCATAGATCATAGAATCGGTGTATACCTGCCGCATTACATTTCACTGAACGATGACCATTAATAGCAGCGTTTGTGAGTGATGAGTAGTAATCACATATTCGTTTTCTGCAGCAGAACAACCAAGTTGCTGTAAGGGAGAGGATGGAGAGCTGGCTGAGTAGAAACTTCAGTACTGCGATACCGGCTGATATTAATAACCAGTTGGACTACGCACGCTAATGCGTGCACCACATGCCCACTACCGCTTATCTACGACTTGTTAGAGGACCAATATGAACAGTATCGGTTGACTTCCTATTTCATAACTCTTTCCTTACCGCGCTCACATGACATTCACACTTTTCGTCGTGCCTACGTTACTTTTGGAAGGACGCATAAACGGGCATATAAACAGACACGCAAAACTACCGCTTTATATATAGAGACAGTCGCCCGGCTATCGCCGAGCTTTCCTCTTTCATTGAGTTCAAGTAACAGGCAACCGCCTCCCCCCCCCCTTTTGAAACGAATGATGCTTTTCTGAAT